ATCTCATTCAGCATTTTTATACTAAAATGCAAGAATTTGTGATTTTCTTTTTTAACAGAAATAATACAAACAAAATAGTTTCTAGTTAACTCTTACTAAATTAGAAAATTAATTAGTTAATCTGAATTTAGATTCTACCAAGAATGTAAAGCATATAAAATGAGGTCCATTTCTTGAAGTTATAAATTTAATTGGAAAGACAGTCTGATAAACTAAAGAGTGTTATATGTAATAAACAGTAATGGGCAATGTTTCAATTAAAATTTTCCATGTAGTAATGCAGTTTATCTGTGGGATAAAACACTCAAAATATGCATGTAGGTGTTGGATACACACATATATATATGTGTATATGTGAGTGTTTATATATCCACATAAATATGTGGATATTTCAACTGCAGATCACTCTGGTTCCCAGTCATTTGGAGGATCTTATTTGTGGATTTTAAGTCATTTCTACCTAATTCTTCTCATCTCTTGCTATTTATATCACATGATTGTACATCACCATGATTGTGATAGTAAACTCATTATGTAGATTGTGGTTATGACTTCTGTGTGTAATGGGAGCTGAAAAGTGTGAGGATAGAATTTTTTATTCACTGAGTGTAAATGAAGTTTTCTCTTTGATTATTGCATCCATATTCCAAGTCTTATAAAGTTTAAATTTGCATCTTAAATTGAGAATTGGCCTGAAGCCTTTACAAATAATTTAAAAAATCTAATTCTGATTCTGAGAAGAGAAATCAAGGTTGTCTGTCATTTGGGTTTTTCCTTTATCATCTTTAGCTGACCAGCTAATCCTTAGTCTGTTAATGCTTAGGCTAGGTTTTGTTTGTTTTCTTTTTGTTTTTTGATTTCCAATCAGTGTGCTAAATCACGGTTGCTTGGGTATTCTGCAAAAAGCTGGTCATGTTGCAAGACCGGTTCATTGGTGGTTATGATGTCAGTTCTGAATGCTTGTACTCCAGAACGTCATTATTAGTTGTCTGGATGTTCCATAATACTCATAAAAATGGGCTAAGAACACTGATGATTTTGTTGAAGAAGCTAGGTGTGTGAAACGTGGGCTTGTACTTTGCAGACCTGGAGAAGCTAGCCGATACCAGTGCTTTACGGCTCTTTAACATGTCTACATGCAACTTGAGTTTAGGTTGTCATCTTTTACCTGCTGACTTTCCAAAGAGTATGTTGGCTTCCTAGCTTTGGTTTTATCTTTTCACCAATTTTTGGTCAATTTCAGCAGCAGAATTCTGGAGTAACCTGAGGTTCTATTTTACTGCTAATTACTCCTCTCACCATCAGTTGCTGCTTTGGGGAAATTTTCTCTTTATAGAAGAAAATATATAATCCTCCATGTAAGGATGAACTGGCCAGTAGGTTTCCTCTAGTATTCAAATTGTATCTTTTGAACCATTTCTCAAACTTTACCTCATTTCTGAAACTTCCAGCCTCTCTTCTTGATCATCTTACAATCTGCTAGGTCTTTAAAATGTATCTTACTTCCCAGCTCCCCCAAACCTATTTGTCTTCTTTAAGTGAAGAATAACCAGACACACTTATAAGTGAATATAAAAGTAGGTATTATTTTTTGTTGTGCATTTTGTGCATGTTCTTTATAGTTAGTTAATTTCATAGTATTTTCATTCTAGATTGAAAATGACTCAATGGTAGGGACAACATCTAACCAGTAACCTATAAACCCCATAAGGGAGTCATATACCCTGTAGACCTTAGCTGTGAGTATACAAGATTTAGTAACGTCCACTTTGGTCTCTGCAATATTCTCTACTAATAGTAGCTGATTATACAAAGAAAAAGTGATGATGTGAGGTTTACATTTGCTATCCAAAACTACTTTCTTTGTATTTTCCTGCAGCAAAGTCATCTTTTTGTAGCTTTGTGATTAACTTTTTGATATTTTGAAGGAGATGGAAGAGTAATAAAGCATCTTGCTTCTCATCCACTCCAAACGTGACAGAACTGTGTGGGCCGGAAATGAAAACTACCATGAGCTCCTTGTCAGCATTTGGAGATTCTTCCATTCAGACATCTTCAAAGTCCAGAATCCGGCAGGGCTGTCGTAGTGCCGGCCCAAGTGTATCTGGTAATGAGGGACCATCATCTCAGTTACAAGAGAGTTAAAGTTCAAAGTTAGGAGTCAGCATTAGGAAGAGATAAAGATAGCACTAAGAGGCAAGGGGAAAATTATTTGGCATATGTAGAATAGTTTAGGTTTGAGGAGGAAAGGAACAAATTCAAATTTTGTAATTAATTTCAAATATGGGGAGTTATAGAAATTCTACTTCCCAGAAAAGATATTTGTAGGTGCTAAAGTTCTCCAAATATAAGGTGACTTTAGTTTCAAGATTTTAAAGGTTTTTGTTAATCAAGTCATTTCTGTATCATTTTCAGTAGGTGATCACATTAATTTGGCGAGCTCATCAATGCCATCATTTCCTATTCTCCAGCGTTCTTCTGAAGAGAAAATTCTGTACTCAGACAGGTTGACTCTACAAAGGTGAGGACAATTTATTTTATTTTTTTGACTGATTAATGACACAGACATGGTACAAAGTTCTCTCTCCCTTCTCTTATTCTCTAGCTATCTAATTCTCCTACCTAGGTATAATCACTGTTACCAATTTTTTGTTTATCCTTTGAGGAGTCTGGGGAGGAATTTTATATCTGTATAATGTAACAGAGTTTGACTGTTCTGAAGGAGTACTGTAGCAATTCTAAAATATGGCATTGATGAAAATGGATTTTGTAAGGTAGAAAAAGCTTACAACATAGCCCTCACATGGGCTTTTGGGCCCTGTTCTAGTTGAGTTCCCTGTTACTCGTTGGCCTCCCATGCCCCCAGTCTCTCCTTCACCCACTCTGGCACAGCTACACCTGCCTCCTTGCTGCCGCTTGAATACACTGAGCATGCTCACACCTCAGGATGTTGCGCTTGTTCCCTCTGCCTCGAATGCTGTTCCTTTGCATAACTGCAGGTTCATTCCCTTCCCTCCTTCAGGTCTTCACTCAAATGTCATCATCTCAGTGTTGACGGGCCCTGGCCACCTTCTCCAAAGCTGCAGCCCCTTCTACTCTGACATTACCCAGCCCTCTTCTCTGCTTTTATTTTTCTTCTTAGCACTTAGCACCCTCTAACATATTAAGTATTTTATTTATCAAGTTTGTTCTTTGTCTCCACCTATTATTATATAAGCTCCACAAACGCTGGAGTTTTGTTCAGTTCTGTATCCCTAGCACCTAGAACAGAGCCTGGGACATAAAAGGCTCTCAGAAATTTTTGAATGAATATATTTAGATCTTGATTCTCATCTTTAAATCTCAGTAGGTATCTGCAATAGAGTGGTGGATGAAAGATCCCAAACCTACCTTCATGCTATCACCAGCAAAGAAACCATCTCTGCAGTGCATACCTTTACCTTAGTAGTGGATATGTAACAACAAACTTTTAAACAGATTTATTAGCTTAACAGTGCACTCCTAATAGCAAATTGTCATGGACTACTCATGTTCTGAGTTAGGAGAAAGCTCCTTGAAGGATGCAACATGTCATTTTGCAGGCAGAGTAACATTTGAGGGCAGTAACTCTCATGACATCTCTGCAGTATTGTGTTTTGAGTGTTTTAGGTGAACTAGAAGCTGGGGGTACCAGTAAGTTTGACTATGAGAAACCGAGGAAGACAGAAGCAGGACAAGTGAGACAATTTAAGTTTTTTGCTAAGATGATGCACAAAGATACAAAATTTAAACTAGAATTACAGGCATATCTCATTGATTGCACTTCACTGTGTTGTTCTTCACAGATGTTGCATTTTTTTACAAATTGAAGGTTGGTGGCAATCCTTCTGCACAAGTCTGTTGGTGTCTTTTTTGCAGTAGTTGCTCACTTCATGTCTCTGTGTCACTTTTTGGTAACTGTTGCAATATTTTTAAAGTTTTCATTATTATTATATTTGTTATAGTGATCTATGATCAGTGATCTTTTTTGTTATTATTGTAATTGTCAGGAGATCCTAGAACCATGTCCATATAAGATAGTAAATTTAATTGACAAATGTGTGTGTTCTGACTGCCCTGTTGGCTGGCTGTTCCCCTGTCTCGCTTTCTCTTCTCAGGCCTCCCTATTCCCTGAGACACAACAGTATTGAAATGAATAATCCTTCGGTGCCTCTGAGGGTTAAAGTGAAAGAAAGAGTCACATGTCTCTCATTTTAAATCAAAAGCTTACAATGATTAAGCTTGGTGAGGAAGGCGTATCTAGAGTGGAAGTAGGCTGAAAGCCAAACAGCCACGTGTGAATGCAAAGAGTTCTTGATGGAAATTAAAAGTGCTGCTCCGGTGAACACGTGAATGATAAGAAAGAGAAACAGTCTTATCGCTGATATGGAGAAGTTTTAGTGGTCTGAACAGAAGATCAAATCAGCCACAGTAGTACCTTAAATCAAAGAGCAAGTACCCGACTCTTCAAATCTATGGAAGCTGAAAGAGGTGAGGAAGCTACGGAACAGTTTGAGGCTAGTAGAGGTTGGTTCATGAGGTTGAAGGAAAGAAACCATCTCCATGATATAGTGAGTACAAGGTGAAACAGCAAGCACTGATTTAGAAGCTCAGTAAATTATCCAGAAGGTCTCACTAAAATAATGAAATGGCTACACTAAACAATAGGTTTTCATTTTAAGTGAAACAGCCCTATACTGGAAGAAGATGCCTTCTAGGGCTTTCTAACCTAGAGAGGAGGAGTCAGTGCCTGGCTTCAGAGCTTCAAAGGACAGGCTGACTATCTTGTTGGGGGCTTATGCAGCTTGTGACTTTATGTTGAAGCCAGTGATCATTTGCCATTCTGAAAATTCTAGGACCCTTAAAAATTATTTGAAATCTATTCTTCCTGTGTCTGCAAATGGAACAACAAAGCCCGGAATGACAGCCCATGTGTGTACAACATGATTTACTAAATATTTAAGCCCATAATTGAGACTTACTTTAAAAAAAAAAAGAGATTCCTTTCAAAATATTACTGCTCATTAACAATGCACCTGGTCACCCAAGAGCTCTGATGGAGTCATACAATGAGATTAATGTTTTCATGCCTGCTAAAATAGCATCCTTTCCACAGTCTATGGATAAGGACTCATTTGGACTTTCAGGCCTTACTATTTAAGATACACAATTTGCAAGACTATAGCTGCCATAAATAGTGATTCCTCTGATGGTTCTGGGCAAAATAAGTTGAAAACCTTCTGGAAAGGATTTACCATTCTGGATGCTATTAAGAACATTTGTGACTCATGAAAGTAGGTCAAAGTATCAACACTAACAGGAATTTGGAAGAAGTTGATTCTGTCCCTCATGGATGACTTTGAGCGTTTCAAGACTTCAGGGCAGGAAGTAAGTACAGATGTGGTTGAGAGAGCAAGAGACCTAGAATCAGAGTGGGGGCCTGAGGATGTCACTGAGTTACTGCATCTCATAATAAAACTTCAGCGGATAAGGAGTTGCTTCTTATGGATGAGCAAAGAAAGTGGTTTCCGGAGATGGACTCTACTCTGGTGAAGATGCTGTGAAGATTCTTGGAATGACAACAAGGGATTTAGAATATTCTGTAAATATTCTGTTAACTTAGTTGATAAAGCACTGGCAGGGTTTGAGAGGTCCGACTCCAATTTTGAAAGAAATTCTGTGGGTGAAGTGCTATCATATAGCATTACATGCTCCATAGAAATTGTTGATGAAAGAAGAGTCAATCAATTAAAATGGCAAACCTCATTGTCTTATTTTACGAAATTGCCACAGATTCCGTAACCTTCAGTAATCCCCACTCTGATCAGTCAGCAGCCGTCAACATCAAGGCAAGACCCTCCACTAGCAAAAAGATTACAACTCACTGAAAGCTCAGATGATAGTTAGCATTTGTTAGCAATAAAGTATTTTTAAATTAAGGTATGTACCTTAATTTTTTTTAGACATCAAAACATTTTTTTAGAAATAGTTTTTTTAGACATAATGCTAGCACACACTTAATAGATTGCAGTGCAGTGTAAACATAATTTTTATATGCACTGGGAAACCAAAAAATTCACTTGACTTGCTTTATTGAAATATTGATTGTGGTAGTCTGGAGCTAAACTCTCAATATCTCCAAGGTATGCCTGTACTTACAATTTATTCATTTATAATTTGTAAAACAAAAATACCAAAAGTGGTAATACAATTGAATTCATGAAATGATTTGTAAATACTGAGCACACATTAAAAAAATTAAACTATTACCTAATATTTTTACTTTTGTTCTATTTTAAACCAATTTGTTCAGGGCCTGTATCTTTAAACATCATATTTTTATCAACCATTAACATTCAGTTACCCTTGTGCTAATCATTCTTTTTTCTCTTTATGAGGAGGATTCCAGTCACTTCCACAGTTTCACTGATGCTTATAGCATTCTTATTTTATTTAAAGGTTACATTAACTTGATTTTAACTAAAAGGACATATTTTGAATAAATTTTCCAATTAGAGTTCACACTGATCAGTAGAGCTACATTTTCCTTGACAACTGTGTTAAAAATAGTAGAATCACTCTTATCTGGCCATTTTACTATACTAGTAGAATTATTAAAGTACCCTGCAATTTAATTCACATGTAATACATTATTATTACTTTTGGTATATAGAGGATTACTATATTAAATACAGCTAAAGTATATATTATTAACGTTTCATCCTTCCCTACAGCATTCTCAATTTCTGCAAAGCTCAAAGTTAGTGTTGAACATGTAGGTATATACTTAAAATCTAAGCCTCTGAGGAAAGGTAAGGACCACCTTACTATTAATGGATTTCAGGATTAAATTATCTTATCTTAGTGAACTTTAGATTGTTCTTCCTAAGATACCATCCAGCTCAAGAGTCTATGATTCTATGAGAGATTTTTTATTTATTATCTGATGACTTACTTGCCTGGGCAGTCTTTATGTCAATGGGTTGATGGCTAAGGCATTTTTGTGATTAGATGACATAGTTATTTGAATTGTGTCAATTTCTATTGCAGAAGGCAGTTACATTGAGTGTTTTCTGATAGTAAGTCAATTTTATCAAATAAATGATATTGGAAATTTTTTAATACGAGAAGTTAAATGTAATGATTACCCTTATCAAAGTATATTGGCTTTTATATGAGTGATTTACAGTTAGATCTGGGACTGTTTGTTCATGGAGGCAAAAATTAGTTCTATATATCTTTTTCTCCTCACAGCATGGAAGCACAAAGATACTAATACTATTAACAATATTTGTAAGAGAAGGCAGGCTGCCAAGTCAGAACTTTAACTTTTTTTACTGTTTTCTAGGCAAAAGCTGACTGTATGTCCGATCATCGATGGGGAAGAACACCTTCGTTTGTTGAACTTTCAACACAATTTTATAACTCGGATCCAAAATATTTCTAATCTACAGAGGCTAATATTCTTGGATTTATATGATAACCAGATTGAAGAAATTAGTGGGCTTTCTACTTTGAGATCCCTCCGTGTCCTTCTGTTGGGGAAAAACAGGTAATCCCTTTGCAGATAAGTTTTTGTTTGTTATTCTTAGGACTAATGTTGATATTGTTATAGTTAGAATAGTTTAGATGGCAACTTAGAATTGAGATACTTAAGAAACTAAGGTACTGAATTTTTTGAAAGATTATTTGAATGAATTAAGATTCAGACATTTGTTTTATGAGATTTGGTCTGACAATTAGTTAAAATTTACTGATGGTGTATTTTATTATTTCCATTGGGTTCCAGTGCCATGCATTTTATGGAATAAGCAGAAGACTTTGGCTTTGACTTGATGTTTTCTTAGACTGTATGTAAGTGTGTGTATTCACTCTAGGTTTATGTGTTTCACTTGTGATTCTTTCCATTGCTTGACTAAGGGTAGACATTTGATACCTTGTGATCATCAAACTGCTGATGATTCCTATTCGGGTGGTATTTTCAGTATGTATTAATGTTATGTACTGGAGGGACTTTTCTAATTCTTTTCTACGGCTCTGTTACGTAGTGCACCCACACAATTCCCGACCCATTTCCCTGAGGCTTGTTCTTGACCTTTCTCTCCATTCTGCTTTACTGGGTAGCTTTTGTAGTGCTCACAAAAAGGGCCAGTTAGCAAACTCTACAAATGATTTTGATATTATAAAATGATGAACTTTAGATAGGGTGTTATACCTAAGCTTGGTTCCCTTCCCCCTCTTTTTCTTCCCCCACAGCACAGATCTTAAATTATCTCTTCATTCTCACTAGCCAATGGTAAAATTAAATACTTTTTTCCAAGATCTTGTCTCAGGGTTCTAGGCTCTTGTCTGTTCTGTGGCTTCTTGAAAGTTCCCCATCATTGTAGTTAATCACCTACAGTTGGTTCAAACATTAAGTTAAGCATTATGGTAGCATGAGGAAATCTGGGAGAATTATAGGATCATGCAGTATTAGAGCTTGAGATAACCTCAGAGATTAGCTCTCTGATTTTACAGATGAAGAAATGGAGATGTAAAGTGACCTTTACAAGGTTAGATATGCACAAACTATGTGTAGCAGGACTCTGCTACCAGAGCAGTTCAGTGAGTAAAGTGAAGATTAAAAAGCTCTTCCTACGTGTGAGGCATTCCCTTTTAGGAGCTCCCTGTTCTCTCCCCCAGAGGTTTCTTCACTGGTTTCTGATACTTAGAATTATTAATTTGTTTGTTTAGCCTCCATTTATTCTTCCATTTATTCTTTAGCCCTCCTTTCAGTCCTTGAATAAGGTGTTTTCCAGTGATATATTTTTTTAATTCACCTTGTCTAGTTTTAAAATAGTGTCTAGGAGCTGCTTCTGCTTCCTAATGTTTTAAATCATGTCACAATCTACTCTCTTTTATCGCTACTACTTTTCAGCTTCTCTGGCTGCTTGAAAGTAACCTTTTAAGCTTTTTTTAAACTTTTTTATTTTGATATCATTAATGTACAATTACTTGAACAACATTATGGTAACTAGACTTCCCCCATTATCAAGTCCCCCCCACATACCCCATTACAGTCACTGTCCATCAGCGTCGTAAGATGCTATGGAATCATTACTTGTCTCCTCTGTATACACTGCCTTTCCCATGTCCACCCCCCTGCTTTATGTGTGCTAATCGTAATGCCCCTTTTCCCACTTATCCCTCCCTTCCCACCCCCCGACCCCCAGCCCCTTTCATCTTGGTAACTGTTTAAACTTTAAAGAAGCTTTTTCAAAATATTTTGTGCCTTGAAGACATGAGTATGTATGACCTTCTGACCTTCTTCAAGGTCCATTTGCTCTTCCACCTCTAAGAGACAAATGGCCTTTTCTATATCCTTACCTTGGTCAAGTAAAAGCAATCTAATGTAGTCTCTTCTTCCTTTTTCTAACTCCTCCATCTTTTTGTTTGCTTGCTTTTGGCCAGATTTTATTTTTCACATAAGTAAAATAGCTGTTAAACAGTTCTAGAACTGTTAGTGTTCTTGAATAAAAAAGAAAATGAGTCAGAAGACAACTTTCCACATTCTACCAAACTGCATATTTCTGAATTATCAATACAATGCAAATCTGATCCCTAAAACATATGCCTGCTGCTCTCCAGCGGCTGACTTTGTTGAGGTGAGGGACCTGTGAGCCTTGAAGATGTGAATCCATCTTGAGGGAGTGCTTTTGTTGAGTAGCAGGCAAACCTGGTGAGGAATGCTGAGGAAGAGTGGAGCGGTCGGCCACCTGCTCCTCAGGTTTGTCTTGGGTGACTTGTTGCCCCGTTGGTCAAGTCCAGAAAGTTTTCTCCCTCCCACCTCGCAAAGCCCTACACCATCTTTTTGTCCAAGGCAGTGGAACCATATGTGAAAAACCAGGGCAACCATATGCCTCTAAGTTCAAGCAGCTCCAACAAAGATTTCTGCCTGAAGTTAGAAGGACCCTGCTCAGATTCTGTACGTGAAGTTCACATTGCTGCCAAACAACTTCCAACCCCTCTGTACCGCTTCGCTACTGAAGTTCCTGCCATCTGACTCTTCTGTTTTCTATCCCCCCTTTATCTTTGTGAAATCTTCTTGATTACAGGCTAATGAACAGAACTTTCCTTCAGTTTCTTCTGATCACCCAGGACTATAGATACAGAATTTTCCTCCAGACCCTGAAATTCCATATTCCTTTTCTTTTAATCCTGTGAAGATTCCCTTAAGGATTTGTCTCTGACATTTGAAAAGCCTCATCTTCCCATAGATCCTCGAGTGGGTCTCAGTAATAAATAGCATGTGGCCTGTGGAAACTGGCTGTGGTATATCCCGAGGGATCTGTAGCTGCTGAGGAGATGGGTGAGCCTTGTCCTTTTCTAGTTGCAGTTCTGTTTAATGGGAGAACTTTAAAAATTGCTGTTAATGTAAATGTCTTCAGCTATTTGGAAATTGACTAGGATTCTCCAGATTCCTCACATCAATACTGATCTGACCAATGGCCTCCTAGGTCAGTCGATGTCTTCATCTGCCTCTGAATTCTTTAGAATTGGATCAGTTTTATTCATTTCAGGTGTGATGGTAGAGAGAGAATCTATGGCAAGGGCAGTTCATGAGAACAAGACAGAAAGTGTTTTGGTTGGTTTTGGGTTAAACTGACTGAGCAATTTGCTAACTTTTCTTCCTGTTCACCTGGACAATCAGAATCTGGAGAGTCATAAAGCCACTATGTGTCAAAGCTAAGAGAATGCTTGAAGTCATCATAGATAGGTTCTGTTTTACTGGGTAGCTTAACAATATGTGGGGCCCTGGTGGAATTTTATGGGAAGACACATTGCACATGAAGATTTCTGTGGTTGAAGTACCTTAAAAGTGCACAGAATTTATGATAAATAAGGAAACAGATTACACTGATCCTCCAAGTCAGAGAAATTTGGGCTGAGACAGTCTCCATCCCTTGATTATAACTTTCAAAATGTTAAAAATATAAATCTCAGATAAATAAGAAATTACAGGCCAGTGTTTTAATTAACTCAGTAATGAGGGAACCAGTAGGGTGACAAAGCTGGTTCAAAGGAGGATAAGAGAAACTTGTATGTTTATAGTCAATGAAAAATAAAAAATGGTAGAATAAGATTGTTAAGTTATAAAACAAGTTAACCTACAAAGCAGTAAAATCATAACCCTATAGGTTATCTTTTCTGTTAGGCAGAAATAAATTATATTCCTACCTGGCAACAATCATCATTACATCTCTCATCAGTTTTCTACAAGATAGTATATAACTTTATGGAGTTTGGGCTCCAGTCAGTGCTAAGTAGTCAGATGAGCCTTAGGTAGGCTTGTTGAAAATGCTCTAATATAACATTGAAAGGACACAGAGTCATCCCTTTGTCTATTTCCAAGTTTTGGTTGTCAACACTGAGAAGCACCCTTTCTTCTATATTCACATACCAGTTTTACAAAATTGGTTTTTATACTAAGTATTTTTCACTTGAATACTTATTATTATTTTCATTTGCCAATATCAGTAAATGTTCTTGAAAATATAATTTTTAAAGAACTGTATAATATATATGTAATAATTTAATATTTCCCTTTTGTTAGACATTGAAATTGTCTTTTTTTTTTTTGCTGTGATGAGAATCTTTGTCTGTAAATCTTTCCTCTACATCTTTGACTATGTCCTTAGAATAGGCTTTTGTATTTTCTGTTAAGTAGGTGAGTTCACCCTCATAAGCTCATCTGAGGAGGGGATTGAGATTTGATGAAGAAGAAGGTATATATTTTAGGGAATACTTCTCAAAATGTGATCCCTGGACCATTAGCATCAACACCAACCATCCAATCACTTGTTAGAAATGCACATTTTTGGAACCTGTCCCCAAAACTCTGGAGGTGGGCTCAGCAATCTTTATTTTAGCAAGCCTTCCAGATGATCCTGATACACACAAAAGTTTGGGAACCACTATTTTAAGGAATGTGAGCTTGGGCATTTAAAGAATTGACAAAAGCCTTTTCTAACAGCTGTGAGGTCAAGATTGCTGTTAGAAAGCATCACTGTGTCCTAAGCCATATTATTAGGTATTATTAGGGTACTGTAATTATCTCTAACTTTTACAGGTATTTCAAGTGTAAGAGGAATTCTTTTGTAGAAAGTTTTATCTATTTTCCCATGCTAGCGTAAGCTTGAGAAATTCTCCCAAAATACGATGGAAAATAGAGATAGGAAGAATAAAAGATAAGATGAGGGGAGTGTGGTGTGTATGTGGATACATGCATTTGTGTGTGTGAGATAAGGGAGAGAGAAGTCACGCATGATGGTACACAGTGGGTGTATGATTGGTTATAGAATTCCAGATTTGGTGATGATAAAAGATGGCTGAGGTCAAATGGAGATAGCAATTTATGAAGTTTAAATTTGCATTATGTTTACATAGTAATAAGCATATATGAAGTTTCAAGGGATAATCCACATCCTGGAAATATTTAGGAAGATGGAAACTGTTCTTTGAAAATAGTAAACAGTAATGACAATAGTGATAGGCAGATGATGATAAAGATGGATAGCATGAGCTTCATTTTTATCCTTCCTTGCCAATGCCCTTTCCTTCTACTAAATCACAGTAGTAGGAGAAAGTCAGACCTATGGAAGGGAGAACAATAAAAGGGAGGTGGGTTTTGTTTTGTTAGAAGAGTATAGTTGGAGACAGATGGACAGGTAAGGTGGCCATAGAAGATAGGAGTAAGGAAGACATTGGGAAGGTCCTAACCCTTATAAGAGGGGGCATTTTGGAGGTAAAATCCTGTGTTTTTTATTTTATAGCAGTGTTTTATATTTTCACAAGATGGCAAACAAAAAATTTCAAATATTCACAAGCTGAATATGTCCAGTAGAAAGCATTTCGGTGGTATCCAGTTTGTCTCTGTAATAATAATCTTGTTATGAATACTCTTGCATGTAAAACTCATCCTTTTAGTTAGTATGTTCATTTATTCATTAAACAAATATTTTTCGGGTGCCTGTTTGGTGCCAGGCACCGTCCTGATTTCTGGGGATAATGTAGAGAACATGTCGAAGTTTCTGCCCCCTTGAAGCCCACATTTTGGTTTGAGCAAGGAAGTCATAAGAAAGTAAACACATAAGTAATATAATTTTAGGCAAGGATAAATGCAATGAAGTCAATTAAATCAGGGGAAAGAGAGTAATGAGAACAGGAAGACAGAGCTATTTCTGATACGGTCATCTGGTGAGGCTGCTGTGGAAAGACATTTGAGCCAAGACCTGAATAATGTGAAGGAGTGACCCACGTGTTGTTCAGGGGAAGCACAGTAAGGAAAAAGGAGCAGCCAGGGTGAACATCCAAGGCACACGCGGACTTCTTAGGTCAGCGACAGCAAGAAAGCTGTGGAGTCCGCAGGAGGCGAGGCTGGAGGCGAGGCTGGAGGAGGGTCACGGTCAGGCGGCCTAGTGCCCTGGGGACTGAGGAAAGGAGTTGAGGTCATGTCTCAGGTGAAGGGAGTTGCCTTCACCTAATGTTCTTAGAAGTAGAATTGCTCTTTTCTGAAGATACAACTTTTAAGCTGTCTTTGGGACATTCTACCCCACGTATTTTTCACATTATATATATAAAAAAGAAACATGTTTTTGTTTAATATATAATCGTATAATATCCCTCCTATATATATACTGCTATTTCTCTACCTGACTATGTATATAGATAGGGAATGAATTAAAATGAGTTATGCCTTAGCATGTTTTGATATACAGTAGATGTGATACGTCCATATTTCTACTCATTCTGATTTTTAGAATCAAGAAAATCTCAAATCTGGAGAATCTAAAAAGCTTAGATGTCTTGGACCTTCATGGAAATCAGGTATTATAAAGTCTTTCATTTCTTTCTTTTTTGAAAAAGAGCCAAGGAAATTTGATACTGTAGAAGTTTTAAGAAATATATACTTGTGATGAATTTTTCAAAAGTTACTATACTGATACATTGAAATTTATAAGATATTAAATCTATTTAGGAAAGATTTAATAATTCCATAATTTAAATGACAGATAAAACATAAGCACCTGGAATCCTATGGTGATGACAATTTTGTTCCTTATTTAGTATTAACTTATTTTTAAAATACACATTATCTAACTCTAACCCAAGAACTAATAATTTTTTTTTTCCTTGGGTGTTCCTTCTATATTCCAAAGCAACCAGTGCTGTGGAATTCACACTTACCACATTTATCATTCTTTTGTGGGTTTTTAAAAGTTGCTTTTAAAACTATAAAACTTTTAAAACATATATGCATTATCTAAATAATATATTGTTGAAAGTATTGTCTTTTAATTTTGAAAAAGGTCTCATACTGTATATTGTCATCTAGTATTTTCTTTTTGGATATAACATTATGTTGCTGATATTCATCTATTTTGATTAAGTAGTTGTAGTTTTTTCATTTTCACTGTTATATGTTCCCATTATGTGATTATGTGAAAAATGTGTTTCTTCAGTTTATTATTGGTAGTCATTTGGGTTGTTTCCTTTTTTGTTGTTTTTTTCTTTTCTGTCCAATTAGGAATAGTGCTTCTAAGAACATTCTTGTACATGTTTCTTCATATTCCATATATATGTAGGAGTGACACTGATAGGTCATAGGCTATTTAAATGTCTAACTTTACAAGATAATGCCAAATTGTTTTCTAAAGTGGTTGCACCAGTTTATACTCCTTCCAGGAATACGTAATAGATCCTGTTGCTTACCATCCTTTTCAGTGTTTGGAATTGTCAGGCTTCTTAATTTTCACCAAGTAAATTGGTATAAAGAAGTATCTCCTTGTGGTTTTAATTCATATTTCTCTGATTACTGTATAATCTGGGCTATTTACTCTGTTCAGTCAATTTGCCTACCCTTATTTCTGTCTGTCTTAATTTCTCTATCTGGTTTGTTATATTCCCCCCTCCTTAATCTTCTCTCTTGGAGCACCTTGGCTGTTTTTTTACCATTTGATCTCGCATTTAAATTTTAGTCTTTGAAATGTGAGTATTATTTATGAATAGCTACATGAGCTACATACTCATGCAGAAGGTAAAGCCCCTACTGAAGTGGTAGGTGTGTATTCTGGGATGATCCAGGAGTACGTGCCTGTTGATGAACAAGATCTGCCACTGCCACTTGCAGCTGGCCAGGTGCAAACCTCCGTATGATCTCGCTAGTTGTTAGTCCCAATTTTTTTGGTGAAAAGCCAATGTAATTAATAAAAACCTTGCTAGGCATAGGTAGGTCACATCTGCTATGTTCTAATCTTATCTCAGCCCCATCAGTGTGTCTGTCTGTGTGTACATACAGTGGGAGAAGCATTAGTGGCCTGGGAATGGTCCAGCTCTGCAGGCTTGTTAGTGTCACTCTAGTAGAGGGGAAGTTACCCAGTGAGACGGTTAGTGGAAGGGAAGATAAATTAATTTTTCAGTAAAAGAATGTCATATACAAAAGAACCCAGACTAAAAACAACCTGGTAGATATTTTTTATTGCTAGCTAATTTAGAATATGTTGAGGAACAGTGAGAGATTAGGTAAGAAGATAGGTAAAGGCCGGACTGTGGAGGGCTTTGTAATGCCCCACTAAGGAATTGTTATGTCATTTTGTAGCCCACTATTTTTAAAACTACTCATAACAGTAAGTGAAACATTTTATGGTAGCAATATTTTCCTTAAGTTAATTTTAAAATGTATATGTGAGAAATAAACATTTTTATGTGGTTTTCACATCATAACATACCTTTAAGAACTAATGGGCATTATCCAAGCTCTATAAGAACACCTGACAAATGAATAATGCATCACTTGACCTGTATATTATGTGTAGGAATTATTTACCAACAATTATATAGATGAAAAATGCTCTGTTCCTTGTTAGCTGACCTGTACTATGTGTCTTATAATTTGAGCCTATGTTTGTGATATACCGTATATTAAGATTAAACATTTGTACCACACAGTTATTTCTCAAGGTTCTGTAACTACAAAAAGGAAGTTTTAAATGAAAATCTGAGTCTTGTTTCAAAATATCTAAAAACAATAAGCAAAAATTTGGAAGATTTCAAAGCAAAGATGGTCTTGGTGACCTTAAATTTCTAAGAAGTCATGAGATAAACTATTCAAGATTAAACAATGTCCAAATCTTAAAAAAATAGCATCAAGTAGTTAAAAAACTAAAAGCAAACTAGGAGAATATTTCTTGTTTTTTAAATTTACCTGCATTAGAAATAAAAATATTTTGTGTTCATTATAAAATAAAGCATAATTGGTTTCTGGATTTGAAAACGTTATGAGGAGTGATTATGGTGCTCAAGAAATAGACTGGGATTGGAAAGAGATGGAGGGAGGTGAAACCAGAGACAGAAAACAGTCGAGAAACTAATCCAATAATCTTGGTGAGAAATGATGATCACGTGAAGTAAAATAGTAGCAATAGGGATATCATAAGAGGCAGGTTGGATAAATATTTAAAAAGCAGAACATCAAGATTTAACAGTTGATTATATGTGCGTAGTGAAGAGTACAGAGGAAATCTGGAACTTGACTCTCAACTTCTGGCCTAGATATTTTGGGGACTACCAGAATTCGTTCTTTCTGTAAATGCTTGCTTTTAACACAGACGCAAATGTGCTTAAGAAGAATCTGTTCTTTCAGTTCCTTCAGGGAGAGCTTTCCCTTTCTGTGACTGCATGTCTGAAAGCAGACATTTACCCTTTCAGTAGTGCTGAGTAGGAAGGTTTTTCTTTATCCCGACAGGACAGTCTGGGTTACTCTTATACAAAAGATAAGACTGGAGTATCCAGCTTTCCTAGATGTCTTAGAAAGCTCTGTGATCAATCTTGGGGCCCTCTTGCTGATCAGTGTGACCCATAACTGGGCTTTCAAACAATCCCATTATTTCTTCTTGCTGTGAGATTTATTAACTCATCAAAACTACACTCTTGCCAGCTACCCAAAATGAAGTTTCTGTCATTTACTCTATGCTTATGACTTTGTCCATGACTACAAGTAACAGATTTTATTCCACCAGAGATGTTACACATAATTCTGGTCTCTGATTGCAAACCAGGAAGCCAAATATCCCCAGTGAGTATTTTTTTAAGTGCAGGTTGATACATATATATATGAGAATTAACAATGCTTCTTTCAGAGTTACCAATCTAAAAGGTAACTCTAAAATGTAGACATTCTAATTGTAAGTCCACTAGGACCAAATGAAATTGGAGAAAAGTAGTTTTCTTAAAAAAATGCCCAGGATTATTAGTAGGAGGGGGAAGACACCCTATGCAGATCCCCTATGCAGATCCTGCATAGGGTGTCTTCCCCGTCCTACTAATAATCTTAAGTATTTATATCTTTCTTGAGCTTAGAAACATTTTTTATATATTTAAATATCTCTTTTTCAGTTATGTTTGTAGTATCTATATTGTCTTCTATATTCCTGTCTTTTACCTTTTTTCTTCCTAACTCTGTTTTTCCTTGGTGTTTTAGAATATTTTTGTAAGCTATTCTGACATTAAAGATTTTGCACAGTGTCTATTTTTCTTTCTGCTGATTCCATACATCTCAAATTCTATCACCTATTTAGCTTTGAAATGTTTTTGTCCATGTTTTATAGTACAGTTCTGTCATTGCAAATACTAAAAACCTTATTTCTTCTTTTATAGTTTTTACTTATTTTCATTTGCATTAGTTAGACCAAAAATCTTAGGACAAATTTTAAAACATGGTCAGATGTTAACTTTATATATTATTGAATTTACCATAAACATTGTTAGGTTTCTCTTTTGAACCTAGATGGAATCTAAATGGTATTTCTTGAATGTAAGAGAAAGTGCAACTAACATCATAGAAACTATATTATAAATCTAAAAACCAGTTCTTCCAGCCAACATCTGCTTTGAAGTGTAAAATAAAAATACAAAAAATGTCATTAAGGTGAGAAAGGATTAAAGAAGGCAGCATGAGAGGTGAGACAGAGGCTTGCTCCTAAAGCTGCATATAATACAAAAATATAATTATACAACTAATCCTGAAAAAAGCAACAGGAAAGAGGACTGCGCCAAACTGCATACACCTGGAGAAAAGAATAAACCTCATGGAACAGGGTAATGTATCAAAGCCATGGCCAAGCAGGACCCAAGCCCTTCCCCCACCCCAGCTCACTGGTGAGAGGAAGAGAAATGGAGCAGGGAGGGAGTGGAGGCCTGGGACTGCTGAATACATAACTCCAGAGATCTTCTCTGGGAGCACAAACCTACATTTCATGGTGGTTGCATGGTACTCTCATGATTAGGAGGTTGGAAAGCTAATACAGGCAGAATACCGGGAGAGACTGAGATTCCAGCCACCTGTGGAAAGCAGGGATCCATATCCTGCTGCTCTTGGACAAAAGAAAGTCAGGCACTCTGAGAGACTTCCTAACAGCAAGAGGGCTGCTAAAGGGGCAAGGATTGCACAATATCCCTGATGAACATGGATGCAAAAATACTCAACAAAATATTAGCAAACTGAATTCAAAAATACATCAAAAAGATCATCTATCATGGTGAAGTAGGATTTATTCCAGGGATGCAAGGGTGGTACAACATTCGAAAATCCCTCAACATCATCCACCACATCAACAAAAAGAAGGACAAAAACCACACAATCATCTCCATAGATGCTGAAAAAGCATTTAACAAAATTCAACATCCATTCATGATAAAAACTCTCAACAAAATGGGTATAGAGAGCAAGTACCTCAACATAATACAGGCCATATATGACAAACCCACAGCCAACATCACACTTAACAGCAAGAAGCTGAAAGGTTTTCCTTTAATATCTGAAACAAGACAAGGATGCCCAATCTCCCCACTTCTATTCAACATAGTACTGGAGGTCCTAGCCTCCACAATCAGACAACACAGAGAAATAAAAGGCATATGGATTGTTAAGGAACAAGGTAAACTGTCCCTGTTTGCAGATGACATGATATTGTACATTCCAGAGCTACTAGATCTAATATCTGAATTCCACAAAGTTGCAGGGTACAAACTTAATATACAAAAATCTGTTGCATTCCTATACACTAATAATGAGCTAGCCGAAAGAGAAATCAGGAAAACAATTCCATTCACAGTTGCATCAAAAAGAATAAAATACCTAGAAATAAACCTAACTGAAGAAGTGAAAGACCTATACCCTGAAAACTACAAGACACTCATGAGAGAAATTAAAGAAGATATCGATAAATGGAAACATGTCCCATGCTCATGGATAGAAAGAATGAATATTGTCAAATGGCCATCATGCCTAAAGCAATCTATAGATTCAATGCAATTCCTATTAAAATACGGACACTATTCTTCAGTGAACTAGAGCAAGTGGTTCTAATTCATATGGAACCACAAAAGACCCCGAATATCCAAAGAGATCCTGAGGAGGAAGAATAAGGCTGGGGGGATTATGCTTCCCAACTTCAAGCTCTACTAGAAAGCCACAGTAAACAAGACAATTTGGTACTGGCACAAGAACAGACCTATAGACTAATGGAACAGACTAGAGAGCCCTGATATAAACCCAATCATATATAGTCAATTAATATATGATAAAGGAGCCATGGACATACAATGGGGAAACAACAGCCTCTTCAACAGCTGGTGTTGGCAAAACTGGACAGCTACATGCAAGAGAATGAAACTGGATTATTCTTTAACCCCATACACAAAAGTAAACTCAAAGTGGATCTAAGAGCTGAATGTAAGTCATGAAACTGTAAAATTCTTAGAAGACAACATAGGCAAAATTCTCCTGAATATAAGCATGAGCAACTTCTTCCTGAACGCATCTTGAACAAAGGAAACAAAAGCAAAAATGAACTCATGGGACTACGCTTGTGTACGGCAAAGGACACCATCAGCAGTACAAAAAGGCATCCTACAGTGTGGAGAATATATTTGTAAATGGCATATCTGACAAGGGGTCAACATCCAAAATATATAAAGAACTCACATGCCTCAACACCCAAAAAGCAAATAACCCAATTAACAAATGGGCAGAGGATATGAAGAGACAACTTCTCCAAAGAAGTAATTCAGGTGGCTAACAGGCATATGAAAAGATGCTCCACATCACTAATCATCAGGGAAATGCAAATTAAAACCACAATGAGATATCACCTCACACCAGTAAGGATGGCCAGCATCGAAAAGACTAAGAACAACAAATGCTGATGAAGATGCAGAGAAAGGGGAACCCTCCTACACTGCTGGTGGGAATGTAAGCTAGTTCAACCATTGTGGAAAGCAATATGGAGGTTCCTTAAAAAACTAAAAATAGAAATACCATTTAACCCGGGAATCACATTCCTTGGCATTTACCCAAAGAATACAACTTCTCAGATTCAAAAAGACATACGCACCCCTATGCTTATCGCAGCACTATTTACAATAGCCAAGGTACGCAAGCAATGTAAGTGTCCATCAGTAGATGAATGGATAAGGAAGAGGTGGTTCATATACACAATGGAATACTATTCAGCCATAAGGAACAAATCCTACCATTTGCAACCAGATGGATGGAGCTGGAGGGTGTTTGCTCTGTGAAATAATCCAGTTGGAGAAAGACAAGTGCCAAATGATTTCCCTCATTTGTGGAGTATAGCAATGAAGCAAAACTGAAGGAACAAAATAGCAGCAAACTCACAGACTCCAAGAAGGGACTAGTGGTTACCAAAGGGGAGGGGTATGGGAGGCAGGTGGGGAGGGAGGGAGAAGGGGATTGAGGGGTATTATGTTTAGTACACATGGTGTGGGGGATCACGGGGAGAACAGTGTAGCACAGAGAAGGCAAGCAGTGAATCTGTGGCATCTTGCTGCACTGATGGACAGTGACTGCAATGGGGAATGGGTGGGGACTTGATAACATGGGTAAATGTAATAACCACATTGTTTTTTCATGTGAAACCTTCATAAGAGTGTATATCAGTAATACCTTAATAAAAAAAATATCATGAAGGCAATACAGATGAGAAAGTTAATGTCTAGTGATTGTGCAACTTACTTTTTTTCAGTTTTGAGAAGAAAAGTGTTATTTGTATGATTCATTGATGTTTAAGTACGTTACATTGAAAGGTCCCCACAAGGACCCCTGCTCTGTGTCATGCAGCAACTCATCCCTTTGCACTATGCTTGCTGTGTTGTGATGGGGCTTAAAATAATGTTGAGCTCTCATCACCTCGTGGGATAGCTTTTACTTACCCTTACCTTACTGTGCAATTCAAACTCCTCTGCTCCAGTTCCAGTGCTGGTGTGTATGTGCCGAGTCCATGCTCCAAGTCCTCTTATTCTAAACACGTAGTGTCCATCATGTTGCACCCTGACTAAACATTACCTGTCTCCTCTCTGAAGCCCTTAAACTAATACATTACATCTGTCCTCACTCTCCACTGGCCGTCCTAGTTCCTTGTGTTTTTTCAAGACTCTTGATGGCTTTCAGGATCCTGCAGTGTAAATGGAATGAACAAGGGGAACTTGCTATACTTCTTTTCCTTGCCTTTACGCTCAGACGATGGTCTGGCTTGGGCAGATCATTGTGAGCTTATGCCTTGGGTTCACACTAAGTTTCTAGTTGCCAGGTAGTATGTGTATTTCTTGTTACCTTTATGGGACCTGGCATAGTGTTGGACACTTGGAGATGTTCCAAATGATGGACTTGTTGATTATTTGATAAAAATTACTTCAAATATTTACCATGGTCAAATTATAGAATATCTTCCTTCAGTTAATTTTCACAAGTTAAATGACTTCATATTATCTACAGCAGAAGGAAATTGGAAATAGATTTTTACATGTCTTCTTGTAAACTTGTCACTGAGTCCAATGACTATATGTTTTAGTTTTAGGTATTTTTATAACATATATCTGAGATTTATGCCTGCTCATCATCCATTCCTCATTTTTTAACAGATTACCAAGATTGAAAATGTCAATCATTTGTGTGATTTGAGAGTTTTAAATCTTGCCAGGAACCTTTTAAGTCACATTGATAACCTAAATGGGCTGGATTCCCTGACTGAACTTAATCTGCGACACAATCAAATCACTGTTGTGGTGAGTATTAAAATGGAATTGATATGTGATTTCTGGCTTTACTTTTAAGGAAATGACATTAATGTCATGATATTGCTTTTTGCAAAGTAAGAATCTAAGGTCAATTAGTTTTTTCTGAATTTAAATTATTGATATGATTATTAAACTTTGTAATATTTTGTTTGGAAAATGTTAATGTTTTAAAAGGTAAATATGAAATTCAAAACAGAATAGAAGTGTTCTCAGTAAATGAGTCAGCAGTGTAAATGAATATTGAATCATTTCCTGTTTTGTGATGGGTATAGAATTAATAAGAAAGAAAGTTATTGGTGACTGAAAGTTGCTGAATTGTTGCACTAAGAGGGAAAAAGCACAGACACAGAAGAGGTTGAGGACTGTGAGGATACTCATGAATATCACATCCTTTGCAGCTGTTAGAGACAGTTTCCTGTAGTGGAAGGAGCATTGCCTACGGCAAAAGAGGCCTAGTTCTGGTCTCCGTTTCATCTCTCATTAGCTGTGTGACCTTGGGCAATCACCTTAACTCTGTAAACCTCAGTTTACTTTCCTCTAAATTGAGAGCTTTGGGCTAGATTATCTCTAGGGTCCTTTTGACTTGTTGACTCTAAAAAAAGACATAATAAAGATGGTAGAGAACTGGCCTGTGAGAAGGAGGGAAAGAGTTAACATACCATTGTGGGGCAAAACTATAGAAAGGCGATTCTGGAACTCTGAAGATAAATGTCATTAGATTTATAGTTTTACTTAAGTTCAGCAACTAAATAACAGCTTAATACTCAGGTATTTTGTACTGTGCATATGGGAAAAGCACTAGAAATATGGCTTTCAGGTGTATAATATTGTAAAGGTCAAGAACACTTCTAATGATTTATAAAAACATTTGTTATTTTAACAACTTTCCTTTGTTTACATGTAATAAAAAAAACTACCTCGATTCTCTCTGGTTATCATTTGAGCACTTTTAAAGACACAATCTAACTCTTAAATTTTCAAGACATTGAGTTTCTTAGAAAATAATTAAGTGTACTTAAGTGGTACACTTGAGAAGGCTGGGGGACAGATGATATTTTATCTCTAGACCTCATTGTACAGATTGGCTAATTTTGAAGTTTCCCCAAAAAATCTGAGCCAGGTAATGCTCATATTTTCTAGGAGATTGGGACAGTTTCAGAACCTTCTCCAAAACATGGATTTATTACAGAACCTTTTAAATTCTGTCAGATCCTACCAAGATTGGATTTAAATATTGGAAATGGCTTGTTTATTTTAAAAGACATCCAGATGGAGTTGATCTGTTGGATTGCTGAGTCTCTAGGAACTGCTCAGGTTGGCCATAACCTGTCCTCAGGACATTGGATGTGGCACAAATCCAAAAAGGTCTGGTGGAGTGGGGTACAGAAATCTATGGGCCCTAGTATATTCCTGTCCAGGTTCTGTCTTTCATTTGGAACGTGCATAATACATATCCAGGAAATTGCTCACTGAATTTCTCATTGAATATTATGTGTAATAATTACTCTTATAGCTTAGGTAGCAGTAAACATTTTATGGAAAAGGAAGTTCTATTAATTTCTGAAAGTTAAAAGATTTAATAAGTATTATGTATATTATATCATGATATATTAGAATCATGCATATTAATTTATAAGAAATCATGAGTATATATGTAAGGATAAACAAGAAACTTTATCTCCAACTCTTGTCTGTTTCTTTTTCAAAGCATCTTTTTCCCAAAAGAGACTTGAATCTGAGGACTCATTTTTTTCATTATCTCTTCTTTTCTCCAGGGTCACTTATAACACTTAACTCTTTTTTTTTTTTTTTTTAATTTCATGGTTTAGATTTTCCTCAATGGCTGGTAATCCTTAAATGAAGGACCATGTTAAGCAGTGGCTGGGCCTCCTGTGTAGCTGCATAGGTCTTTGTAACTGTGAGATATTTCCCTAGAATGATCACTGGATTTGTGTAAGTCATTGAATCCCACACAGTGGCAGACTTCCCTTTAGAGAGAGTCGAAGGGAAAAGGCGGGCTCACTCTGTAGTTGCTAAAATAAGAGAAAGACTACTTTTGGGGATAGAAGGACTTTAGCATCTTTTGTGCCAAGTGAAACTGGCTTCCCTTTTCCCCTGCGGCTCTTCTGTAGCAGTTATTGTCCCTCTCCGTAGGTCAAACGCCCACGCTCTCCATCCTTTCTTGACAGACACTCCATGTTGTTTAGGGAACAGATGCGGAGGCCTCAGCTGAGGGTCTCTGCACATGGCTGTGCATGTGCATGGCTCAGGTGGGAGGCCGCTGCGGCGGTTTGTTGCTGTTCAGGGAATGACTGTGAACAGACGGACCTTTAACTGCCCATCTGCTTGAGAAGCTACAGTCCGCCACCGTCCTCACCTGCTTCTTGGATGCACTGACTGAGCGCAGAGTAGGACGGCATTCTGTCAGCAAGAATCGCTGTGTTTACAGTGTGGTATCTCTCGCTTGAGAGAGACGAGCTACAGTTTTCTCCATTCAGGGTTCTCACCTATAAGATCCCATCTTCTTTCCAGCATTTTGAAATTCGTCTGAAATGTTGACCTGTTAATGATAACCCTTTTGTTTTTATGACTTCCATGGATATAGTCATTGTGTGTATTTTTTTTCTTCACTCATTGAATGTTGGACAGGAGATGAAACAAACAACTGTGCCCCCTCTTCCATCTTTTCCAAAAACTTACTCTCTGATGTTTTTGATGTAGAAAAGTTATTGGGTTTTTTTCTTAGAAATTTTATAAATTTCAATCCAAATGTCTTTCTGGTTTACATGATATATATGTGTTTTTCTTTGAAAAACATATATAAAAATATATTTTTTCCTTTGAAAAAGTATGAAACATTTCGGGCAGTCCCCCAAAATAGGAAATAATATTACCAACATTTGTATATCCAACAATCCACTTTATAAATAAAAGCCTTTCAAGCATAGTTGAGGCATACTGTGTAAGCCTCCCCCGCCACATTCTCTTCTTCTTCTGCAGAGGTAACCACAAATCTGAATTTGGTGTTTAGTCCCATGCATGTCTGTGTCCTTTTCCCGTATACGTGTGTATCCCTAAACAATGTGAAGCTTTTGTTTTGCACGTTTTCAGATGTTCTGTAAATGGTATCATCAAACTGTACATAGCTTCTGTAAGGTGACCTTATTAACATTATGCTTTGAGATTTATCTATGTTGGTACCTGTAGCTCTGTTTCAAAACTTTTCACTATTATATATATTCCATTGAATGATTGTAATTAAATAATCATTCTATTTATGGACAGTAATGTTATTTCCATTTTTTTAATTATTAAGTGTCTTTTTGTACATGTCTTTTTGAGCATGTGTGTAACAACTCTAGGACAGTGACTTTCACACATTTTTAGCCATTATCTATGATAATAAATTTACATTAAAACCCAGTATTAAATACATATTTATAAGGGCACACTATAAATAATGGAAACAAAACATTTCGTTTAACTGTACCTACCTTTATTGCAATCCATTCTGGTATGTCCTGTTCTGTTCTGTTGTATCTTATTAAAAAAATACTGGTCTCAAAAGAAAAAGGTTGGTCTCAACCTATTTAATTGATTCCTTGATCAGTGAAAAGTTGGTTGCAACCTTTATTTGAAAAAACGATGCTGAGTGGTGAATACTTGTGAGAAGCACTGCAGAGTGCCAGCATTATGCACATCATTTCACCTTATCAGCTATACATAAGCTTTCCACAAGGGGAATGTAACGTTACATTTCTATCAGTATTACCTGAGAGTTCCTTTAACTCCACCTCTTTGTTGCCACTTGGTATCATCAGACCTTTAAATTTTTGCTAATACTATAACTGTAAGATTGTATTGCATTGAAATTTTAATTATAATTTCCACTGAGGTTGAATGCCTTTTATCTTTTCTTTTTTAGATATTGAGATTGCCTCTTTCGTGAGTAGTATTATCCTTTGCCTATTGTAATAACAGGCTTTTCCCCCCCTTTTTATCTGTAGTGTTTCTTCTGTATTTGCTGTCTTTTGAGGAACAGAATTAAAAATCATCAATAGTTTTATTTTCCTCTTTTTTGTTTGAAAAATCCTCTCTTATAGGATGAGGATATAAAGGTATTTTTCTGTATTGTCTACCAAAAGTTTCAAAGTTGTTCTTCACATGTAGCTCTCTCATCTATTAGACATTGATTTCTGCCTGTGGTGTGAAATTGAAATCCAATTTTGTTTGTTTTTTTTCCTCGTGTGGTTTACCAGCTGGTCCACTGTTTATTGAAAGTGAATTCTTTCTCTCTTCTTCCTTCTTCCCTTGGTAGTGTCTCCCTCTAGCAAATTAAACACCCACTTATGTAACAGATATCTGCAAACATATCTATGATATAACATTTTAGTACACTTATCTTCTCTTGATCATTCTCTCCTTCTCCTTTACTCTTTATATCATATTGCATTGTCTTTGGTGCTATTATAGTCAGTAAACTGTCTATTATCATTTTTTTGTAGGTGGTCTCTTTCTTAGGTTTCATTTTGAAGTACTGCAGATTGACTATGGTGTATATGGATGTGGAGCTACCATATTTTATCAGCTTGAGCCACACATATCTCTATTTTTTTCTGAAACATTTAAGAGTAAGTTGCAGACATGATTCTCCTTTATCTCTACATACTTCAGTGTGTATTTCCTAAAACAAGGACTTCTCTTATATATCTACATTAGAATTATCAAAAGCAGGAAATTAACATTGATATTGCTATTATCTAATCTGTAGATCCTATTCAGATTTTCCCGTTTGTCTCAATAATGTCCTTTATAGCAAAAGAAAATCTAAAATCATGCATTGCATTCACTTGTTATGTCTCTCTAGTCTTCTTTAATCAAAAAGAGTGCCTGAATTTTTCTTCATCTTTCATGACATTGCCATTTTTGAAGACTATTACTTTACTATTTTGTAGAATGCGTCTCAATTTAGGCTTGTCTAATGACAT